GGGGGAGGACTTAGGCGGAGGACAAAGGAGCGGATGTAGGATGGTGACAGGGGATGGCAGGCAGACAGTACAGGAGGAGGGTCGGGTGGAGGACCGACTCCCAGTAGGAGGAAAACAGACAGAGTCCAGGGAGGAGACGATGGAGGGAGGAGCCATGGAGGAAACAGGAGGAGCCAGGTCGGATCAGATGGAGGCAGGAGCCAGGGAGAGGACAGGAGGGAGCCGGAGGAGCCAGGCGGGACCCAGATCCCAGCCAAGATGGCAGCCCATGGTGGAGCCGACGGAGGGAAGAGCCATGGTGGAGGAAGGGCTGATAGCTGAGACGGAGAACTCAAGAGCCAGGGTGACGGGGAGGACCTGGAGGGCCAAGGCGAAGTAGATGGCTCCGGCGACCGAGGTGGGGATCTGGAAGGCCGCAGTGGAGCCAGAGCGACAGAGGACCAAGGTGGAGCCGGAGGGAAGGAGGGACGAGGTGTAGCCGGAGCATAGCACTCTCCCCCGTGGAGAGCACTGTAGTCGGCTCTCGCACCTGGTCTGACATCACTTGAGGTTCTGGCTCAAAGGCGATCCTCAGTTCTGTCGCTCCATTAGGTGATGGCTCATCAGTCGCGGTGGGCTCAGGCTTGGGCTCTGTGCAGCGGTGTGATGTGGGCTGGGCTCTGGGTCTGGATGTGTTCTGGATCGGGGGTTGATGCTCCCCAGACACCGTATGATGGCCTCCATCCATGTCAGTCCCGAGGTGTCTTGGGGGGGGGGTCGATGGTGTGGTGAAGATTCACCCCAATCCAGAACAGAGACTTCAGTGTCTCATCATCAAATGGGCAGGTCGTGGCGAAAACACTGAAGTCTCTGGCGAAGTTCAGCAGGTCAGGGTTAGCACGGGCAATGGAGATGAGTCGGGAGGTGTAATAATCCATTTAAAAAAACTGACAAAAATGGGTGAAAATAAATAATCTCTTTCTTTTTTGTGGGTCCGGTATTCTGTCACGCTACGGTGGAATGAGGAGTGCATGACGAAGGAGATGAATTCAAACAGTATTTAATATAATCCACACTAGGGTAAATCCACAAAGGCAGACAGGAGACACACGTAGGACATGACATACAGCAACATCAAGCAACATTAATACCGGACGAAGGACAACTGAACAGGCTAGAACTAAAGTAGGGGTGCTAATGAGGGACAGACAGGTGAGGACGATTAACTAATAATGACTAAACGAGAACAGGAACATAACCAAATAAGGGCACACAGGAACTAAACTAGAACAGAAGACAGGAAAACGGCAACTGAAAGAGAACACAAGTCCATGAGTCTGACAGAGATGTAGATAAACAGTAGCAATAACCTTTTTTTTTTTTGAGGAGCCATGGAGGAAACAGGAGGAGCCAGGTCGGATCAGATGGAGGCAGGAGCCAGGGAGAGGACAGGAGGGAGCCGGAGGAGCCAGGCGGGACCCAGATCCCAGCCAAGATGGCAGCCCATGGTGGAGCCGACGGAGGGAAGAGCCATGGTGGAGGAAGGGCTGATAGCTGAGACGGAGAACTCAAGAGCCAGGGTGACGGGGAGGACCTGGAGGGCCAAGGCGAAGTAGATGGCTCCGGCGACCGAGGTGGGGATCTGGAAGGCCGCAGTGGAGCCAGAGCGACAGAGGACCAAGGTGGAGCCGGAGGGAAGGAGGGACGAGGTGTAGCCGGAGGAGTGGAGTCCCAAGACGGCGGATGGTTGACGAGGGAGCCCAGTGGAGCTGGTGGACTGATGGGCCACGGCGAGAGGAGGGAGCTAGGAGCCATGGTGGAGCCGCTGGGTCAAAGGGCCGAGGCGGAGTCTGGGACTCAGAGGCTGGAGGCAGAGACAAAGGATCCTCCAGCCACGACGCCGATGGAGACTGGCAGACCCACGGCGATCCCATCGCACAGATGGTGGGCTGAGGGTGAGCAGAGGGGCTGCCAGGAGACAGCGGTGGCGATGGTGAGGACTGGTGCAGAGGTGGTGGGAGAGGGATGCTGAGCGGCAGTTCAGGATGATCAGGGGGCTTAGGAACGGTGTGTGCTGCCCACACACGCCATAAGGCCACTTCCAGCACCATGAGTGCCAGCGACAGGGGAACGACCTCCGTGGTCGTTTCAGGACAGATAGACAGTTCGGGATAGGCAGACAGTTCAGGGCAGACAGATAGTTCAGGGCAGGCAAAGAGTTCAGACGAAGGTGGGAGAAGAGGGGGCATGTCTGCATATATATCCCAGTAGTAGTCCACTGAGCTCGGCTCACCCTCAGCCATGGTGCAGTGGGCGGAGCTCCTCTACGTGCTCTCGCTGTCCGGGAGGTGTAATAATCCATTTAAAAAAACTGACAAAAATGGGTGAAAATAAATAATCTCTTTCTTTTTTGTGGGTCCGGTATTCTGTCACGCTACGGTGGAATGAGGAGTGCATGACGAAGGAGATGAATTCAAACAGTATTTAATATAATCCACACTAGGGTAAATCCACAAAGGCAGACAGGAGACACACGTAGGACATGACATACAGCAACATCAAGCAACATTAATACCGGACGAAGGACAACTGAACAGGCTAGAACTAAAGTAGGGGTGCTAATGAGGGACAGACAGGTGAGGACGATTAACTAATAATGACTAAACGAGAACAGGAACATAACCAAATAAGGGCACACAGGAACTAAACTAGAACAGAAGACAACTGAAGAAAACACAAGTTCATGAGTCTGACACAGATACTCCGCTAAAAACATCTGTTTGGTTTTAATTATAATACCTATCATGCTGAAATCATGCATTTAAACCATATTAGTTTAAACTTCTGATATACGGTTTTCTGAGCACACACATCCGAGGTGAAAATAAATAATCTCTTTCTTTTTTGTGGGTCCGGTATTCTGTCACGCTACGGTGGAATGAGGAGTGCATGACGAAGGAGATGAATTCAAACAGTATTTAATA